CCCGTCTTTAATCTGGATATAGGAGGAAGCTAGATTAGTAGGTTGTTATTTATCTTCTCAGTTCATGTATGTAAACGCTATGCTATTACCCCCCCCTCCCCCGTCGTTGGGTGAATTTTATATAAAGTTCTGGTTCTCGTTAAGTTTTTTTTAAAAGAAAAAAATATTTTCTTAGGGTGTTATAACTAAGCACTATTCTCTCTCTCCCTCTCTCTCTCTCTCTCTCTCTCTCTATATATATATATATATATATATGTTACAATAAATTCAGGTGCAATCAAATGATGATCTGCAAGAATGATCTCCCTCCTCTAGCACTTATAGTTATTGACATTTTGAAATTAACGTCAAAACATAATATGAAGCATGCCATCATGATATAACACTTAGGTGGCGTTTGTTTTTTAGGAGATGCTGAAGTCTGAAGTCTGAATTCACTTCTGATTTTTAAAATATGGTGCTGAAGTCTGAATTCACTTCTGATTTTCAAGAGGTGGTGCTGAAGTCTGAAATCTGAATCAGTTAGACTGTTTGTTTTTTGCGTCTGAAATCTGAAGTTTGAAGATGAGAGTTGATATGGATCGACAGTTGACAGAGTTGAGAGATGAGAGATCGAGACAGAAGAGTTAATCTAGATAAATCAAGTGCAAAGAGATCAAAGTAGGTAGGCGACGATTTGAAATAAGAGGTTTCTCAACCACTTAAATTTTCAGACCTAATAAGAGCTTTTAAGCTCTTAATTGAAAAAAAAACAAACACACTGAATCCTCTTATGTCTGACCGATTCAGAATTAAGAGGACATTAAGAGCTTTTTTATTAAAAACAAACAGCCCCTTAGTTTTGTTTTGTTGACGATATTGAAAAAGCTTGGACATGTATGTTTGTGCAAAAAAAAAATAGTTTTAACTTACAACCTCATGACTGGCTCGCATATCCCCTGCCAATGGCGTCATGTGAAAGATAAATCAAGTACAAAACAACTCGCTATGTATCTGATTTAAGGGCATGATGTCCACAATGATGCAAATTACCAAATGAATTGCAACTCCCACATTGTGACTGCATACTTCTACCGCTGTATGTATGTGACAGTATATCGCCTTGGACATGCATGTTTTTTCTAATGCAGATTGTCTATTTGTTATAAATGAGTTAGTCTTTTCCACTTTTTCCGTTTATCAACAATATAAAAATTAAATTGATAGATACAGTTATTTTCATTCAATTTAATTGAGGTGATTGATGTAACATGTGGGAAATAAGTATGATCGAAGTTTAACTTGCTTTTGCTCGAGATATACTTTTTATATATACTTATGATATGTCGGTTGTAGGGATCACAAAAGTGATTGACAGTACCCATATCAACAATTCAAGGGTTACATTTCTTAATAACTTTTCCGTTGTCCTTCTTGTTTTTGCAAACAAGGAGATGTATGGACCGCTTGCACTGTATCTTCTAAACTACGTTTTATATGTTTTGACACTGGATGCATGTTATAAATATACAACGTAAACTACAATTTTGATCCATGTGGTTTACACGAATCTCTGAAAGGGGTCCATAGACTTCAATAACTACGATTATCGTCCTTATTGTTTACATTTTGCTTTAAAAATCGTCCATGGTCACTAACTTAGTTAAATTATCCGTTAAGTTAGGTTATTTTCGTCATTTTGCCTTTTTTTGTCTTTTCCTAGTTTTGTCTCTTACCCTTTTCGCCTTTTAACTACTGCACCCCCTACGCCCACATACCCCCTCCTCAACTTCTTCCTCATAACGAACACACACAAACACATTCCTCCCTGTCTCCTCACCACTCCCTCGTTGGCGATCTCTTTCTGGTTGTCTTGTCTGACGGATTCCCCCATGTATCTCGTAGACACAATGTATATGTGTTATATGCACAATGTGTGTATATGCATTGTGTGTATTGTCTATATGGATAGTGCATGTGTGCAGTGTGTGTGTTTTATATGCATGATATGTGTGTGTGTGTTTTATATGCACATTATGTTTGTGTTATATAACACACAGTGTGTGTTATATAACACACAACATGTGTTATATAACACACATGTGTTATGTGTGCACAATATGTGTGTGTAATGTAGGATGAAGCAGTGGTCTGTTTGGGTCCTTCGAATATGGTTTTGTACTTCACTGGAACCGCAAATTACTCTACATTTTTGGCTAGAATGCTAGTTGTGATACGATATGCTTCCTAGTCACCATCTTCCCGTTTTGTAGGTCCTATCAATTCGACCTCTCCGGATTTTAGAGAAAGAGATAGAGAGGGTGGTGGGATGGGGAAAACAAATAAAAGAGATGGATTCATGATGTTTTGGGACGAAGATGGAAGGTGAGAGGGGAGATGGGGGGTTGTCGAAGATGTATGTTGATGGGCGGTAGGAGAATATTGTCACTATGCGTATGGAGAAGAAAGGTTGGATCTCGATGTTGATCGGTGATGGAGGGTGCTGATGGAGAAGGTCACCGAAGTGGATTTAGGTTTCGATGTTGGTTGGTGATGGAGGGTGTTGCCGAAGAAACATAGATGGAAGGTGGGGGTGGAGTAGCTACCGGAGACGATGATTGATGGAGATGGCAGCTGCCGGAGAAAGGTTCTGTGTGTATATATATTAATTAAAAAATATCGTATATCAAATTTTAAAAATAAGATAAAAGAAATACATGAAGAGACTAAAATACCCCTAACTTAATCGGAAAAAATTTAACAAAGTTAAGTCAAGAAACGGCTTTTAAAGCAAAATGTAAAACATTATGGACGATAGTTGTAGCTACTGAAGTCTAGGGACCATTTTCAGAGATTCGTGTAAACCACATGGACTAAAATCATAGTTTTACTCGTATATATAAGACATTGTTCCAACAAAACGCAAGAGATGTAACAATGAACCAATGTCATATGTTTTAATCTTTCCAAATCGATCATTTAAAATTCAAATATATGTACTTTATATATTTGATAGTTGTTTTGGTAGTGAAGAAACCCTAACCTTATCCCTAAATCGATTACGATTTCAATTCGGGGACATGAGATTCCAGTTTGTATGTCATTGGTTCCTAACCGTATGTCCTCATTTGGCCGTGTATGTGACTAACATCCTTAATGAGAATTTAAGGATATGTAACAACCCATGATATATCTATACATGAACTTACGATTTTTAAAACGCATATGAAGAATAAGGATTAAACTTTAGTCCCATGTAAAACACATCTGTTCGCCTCCCCAATTGATGCAACATCTCTAAGGATCAAATCAATCAGTAGAGTTCGAATAATTGATAGTTGCAACCATGTTTGTTTCTTGTTAGGTAAAATCACGTGTAAAATCACATGTAATTCTATAGTAATGACGTGGTCCACAACTTCATATAGTGGCCAAAGTCGGTACAAATCACATATAATTTTACATATAATTTTAATATAAAATCACATTTCTTATTTTGTATTTCAATTTGATGTAAAAATAATTAGAAGTGGAAAAGAAAAGGGAAAGAAGGAAGTTATTCAAAACTGTACATAAATAACATCGCTCTCTCTCAGAGTGCTCTATATAGTATCTGGTCCGTCGATCCAGCAGCGCTTTTTACAGTTCTCTCTCTCTCTCCGCTGTCTCGTCACTCTCCAACCACTACCACCACCGTCTTCCGTCACACAAACTCCTTTTATCCATCCAAAAGTCGTCGTGGATCTGATCAGATCCGTGACTCTCAATCAAGCCTCTGTGCAATGGAGGAGGCTCTTGAAATGGCACGCGCCAAGGACACCAAAGAGAGAATGGCCGGAGTAGAGAGGCTTCATGAACTTCTAGAAGCTTCGAGGAAGAGTTTGTCGTCTTCGGAAGTCACTGCTCTTGTTGATTGTTGCTTGGATCTCTTGAAGGACAACAATTTTAGGGTTTCTCAAGGGGGTTTACAGGCTCTTGATTCTGCTGCGGTTCTTTCTGGTGAACATCTGAAGCTTCATTTTAATGCCCTAGTTCCTGCTACCGTCGAGCGTCTCGGTGATGCTAAGCAGCCTGTTCGCGATGCGGCTCGGCGCCTCTTGCTAACTCTCATGCAGGTACCGTGTCGGTGTCTGTATTTTACTGCATTTAAAGTGAAATTTTCAACTTTCTTACTCATTTTTGAATATGCATAATGGTTCTTTTTGGTGATCGAACTTGTATATGTTGAAATCTTGTATGTAATCGGTAGACATACATAATCCACCTAAGGTTTAAAGTAATCGAAATTGGTATTTTTGTCCTCCACAATTAGTTATTTCGGTGGGTTTCTTTGGCAGTCGGTTGCTATAGCATACTGCTTTTGATTAATTTTTGGAATAAACTTTGGGCGCTTCATTTGGTTGCTAGCAAGGTCTGTATATGTTTGTTGCGAGAAGATTGAAATATATATTTTAGGTTCAGTCAAAATAGTTTGATTATGAGAATATGTTGGTGTCCGTCCGGAGTGGTATTATTTATGTCGGTCTTTTTTTTATGATCTATAAACCATGGGGGGTCTGTGTAACTTACTGAATGGAAATTTATTGGGCGCCATTGGCCTGTGGTTCCAAAGGTTATCTGTGCCATAGAACTGTAAGTTCAATTCTCTTGTGTTACCCAATGCACTCGTGCATGATCTGAAGTCAATTGGCAAACACATTGTGCCTTCATCCATAAAAGATTGAGGATTTGACTATCCTGCTTCCCAAAAAGACTACAGAAAGGGCAACCCTGGCACAAAGGCTTCTCGGATTGGGGAGGCCGGGAGGGAAGTGTATTTAAGAGGATGCGTGTGTGACTTGACCTTGAATTTTTGGTCACGAAAGGAGTTTGTATGTAAACCAGTTAAAATAACCCCATAATAGCAACAGTAGTTAGGCAGTCTATGATCCTATCAGTTACATTAAGCTTTCAAACTCAACTTCACTGATGGAAAAATATAGCAGCGTTAGGGTCCCTGCATGAGTTTTGTGGGGTGTAATTTTTGGCTTTAGGGGTATAATCTTCCGGATGAAACTTAATTGTGAGCCTGTTCATTTAGTTTGTACATGTAATTCCAAACCAGTTATTAAAATTTGGCCTACCCTTTATGCAGGTCACTTGCCCCAGCCTTGTAGTATCTATATAGTTTAGGCTTTCGTTGCTTTTATCGTAGTAAGCTTGGTTGTACTTGTACAAAAGCCTGTATTCATTTGTAACTGAAAGCAATAGGAAAACAAACAACTAAAAGGTTTACTAGCTTGCCTCTTGGTGGTGGTGCAGGTTTCATCACCAACTCTGATTGTTGAAAGAGCTGGATCTAATGCTTGGACTCACAAAAGCTGGAGGGTTAGAGAAGAGTTTGCAAGAACTGTCACCTCTGCTATTGGTCTATTTGCATCAACAGAGCTACCTCTGCAACGTGCAATTCTTCCTCCTGTATGTTGTCTGCTATTGTTTCATGAGGCTTTCAATTTGATAGTTTCAACATGCTAAAAACATTCTGATGCTTACACCCTCTCTCCCTCTCTTCATATGATCAGATATTACAGATGTTATATGACCCTAATCCAGGTGTGAGAGAAGCGGCTATTTTATGCATCGAGGTTAGTTAGCTGTTTATGCGATAGTTCGTTTAAGGGTTATTTTAGTTATTTTGATGAAGTGTAAACTTAAACTGACATTTAAATTCTGCAGTTTTGTCTTCTATTACATGGACACTGATATTTACTTCTACAGTGACTGTTTTCTCTTAAGAGGAATGCTATTTTACCTTCTGAAGTGGTCCAATTGTGGCACCTGTACTTTTACTACTTGGAGCTGCAGTTTTACAGATCAGAACATTTTGTAACTTGGTAGGAATAAGTAGAATACAGAGGACTAGTTGTTAACTAAAGATGAACCTGCTCCTGTTGCATGCATAGTTTGTATCTATGTTTTTTTTGAGGAGAAATTGATGGAGATTCCATCTTAAAAACTTTAATCATGCGCTTGTAGTCACACAATTACAGTCTACTTCTGGTTTTGGAAATTCAAACATTACGTGTAGCTTGCACTTTTTTCCTCAAGGGAAAGTTTCTAATCAATTCTGAATTCTAAAAGTAATCTCATTTGACACCTTATCCTTTTATCTGTTGGAGGTGGAGCTACTGAGCTAGTATTGTTTAATTGACCTAATGACTCCTGCTTACCTTGGTTAACAGCAATAGCTTCTTCGAGGTTAGATTAGTATTAGAATGAAGCTTGACTAGCAAATTACTGGGGATGAAAGTCCTCTAAAGAAGACGATAATTCTATAAACCATATTTGCTTTAGGCTGCATTCTTGTGTTACTATATATTTAAATTGCATGCTGCTACCTAAGTGCTATTTTCTAATAATAGATAAAAAGCATTAGTGATGCAACATTGTCTTCTTTATTCTGTAAATTTTCTTCAGATGGATTTTGTGTGACATTTTTCCTCTGCTGCAGGAGATGTACGCTCAAATTGGGCCTCAATTTTATGAAGAACTCCAGCGCCATCAACTTCCATCATCAATGGTGATTATGTTAGGGCTAAGCATTTCAGTTTATTTTTCTGTTCTTTCTTCTACGCACTGTATATCTTGCTTATGTACTCTGCCAAACAAAGAGGTGCTTATATAGGGCTCATGCTGTTGTAGCCGGTGATCATTATCTTTTGTTATTTGACTATTTAAGCATCAATATTATACCGTTATGTATCCTAAATTAAAGATCTGGAAGCAATACACTGGATGTGGGTCCAGACTCCAGAGTATAGTTGTTTGTTAGTCATTATGACACTTATGATATTTTGAAGTTTTCGGCACACTTTCCTGTTTAAAGGTGCAACATGCTATATTGTCTGTGTTCACAATTTAATGTACTTTTTAGAAAGGTCATGCTTGCGGTGTTTTTCACCTACCTATTTGATTTGATTTCTTTCTCACATGTATGCTCTTGCTACTCTATGCTAATTTTATTCTCTGACTGATTCTAGGTAAAAGATATCAATGCCAGACTAGAGAGGATTGAACCAAGACAACGCTCTTCAGATATACGCGTTAATACTTATGCTCCTCCTGGTTCCAAGCAATCTAATCTTAATCCCAAAAGAAGCAGCCCGAAGGCCAAGACATCCTCTCGTGAAGTATCTCTTTTTGGAGGTTACATATTTTCATATTTTTTAGCTTATGTTTCTATTAAATAGTATGATCATTAAATTCATAAACACTCGATTGGGTGATTGATTAATGCAATTCATTTTCTTCATTTAGCCAAGTCATTTGACTGTGAACTTCTTTTAATGGTGCCCCCAGTCATTTCGTAGTTCTTTTCTGTTCACAAGAGTATGTGGTTTTATAATTAGCATCTTGAGCACTAGGGTGGAGGCCATGTTGCTTGTGTGGGATTGAACTTCTGGTATATTTAAAAATGAACATGGACACATCTTTGACAGGAAAAGCACTTCTCATGGGATTCTTTACCATTTAAATTGGCGTGCCTTTTTCCTGTATAACATCAGTCTGCTAAGGCTGCCTGGTTTTCTTATCTTATGATCATATTAATTCTCTGTTCCATGGAGTCTGTGACTTCCAGAAATTGCGATGCTTGATGGATAATTAATGTGAGAAGTAAACCTTTTTTTGAAGTATATATTTATATACGACAAATGCAACAAATAGACTCACACACCCTCCTTACATTTGGTGAAGTTTGAACCCCCGACCTCCTGGCAGGCCAAAAACTTTTGAGTAAATCTAGTTGACAAGCCTCATGTTGTGAAATTTCCTTATGCTAGTTCTGTCTGCCTCATGTTGTACCTCCTTTTAACTCTTCATATTGCCAATTGCTGCTTGATATACACCCTTTTGACTAATGGAAGCAAAACCTGCATTACTGTAAATATATTTATCAGAAACTTTGGGTTTCTGTAAGATTCATCTCTTTTAGTTTTGTTTAATTTCCCACATCTTTGTGGTTGGCTTGTTCAATGTCATCATGCATTCTTCCCATGTACTGATGCATGCATATGTTTCAGGGGATAGTGATATCACTGAAAAGCCTGTAGACCCAATTAAAGTGTATTCTGAAAAGGAGCTGATCCGTGAGTTTGAGAAGATTGCTTCAATCCTTGTTCCAGAGAAAGATTGGTCTATCCGCATTGGAGCCTTGCAAAGAGTTGAAGGCCTTGTTATTGGAGGTGTGTATGGTGCTTTTTTAGTTGTACCTTTATCACTTGCTTATTGTCTTGGTATGACATAATTGTCTGTCAACCATGGCTGGTGGTTGTATGTCTGGTTGCAAAACTTATGTCATCTTGTCCTTGAAAAAGAAACATGTATTAGACTGTTACGCTCATTTTGCTCTCATTTCTTTTTGTGTCACACCAGGTGCAACTGATTATCCATGTTTCCGTGGACTTCTAAAGCAACTTATTGGTCCTTTAAGTACACAATTAGCTGATAGAAGATCCAGCATTGTTAAGCAGGTATGCTGCAATTGCCTGCATCTTAAAGTTTGACCTGAATTATGTCTTGTCTTCAACCCCCTTGTATTTCTTTGTAGTGCATTATTTTTTAGTTATCTTGGGCTCAATACAACCTTGATTTGCTTTTCGGTAACACTGCTTTTTTTTACCTTGTATGAGGTGGATGACTGGAGAACTGTGGCTTTCAAGTGTATAAGCATAAATTGTTGTCAAATTCTAATATAAGCAGCTCCCAGCAACTCTGCTCCTCATATTCTTGATTTAGACTGGATGAATGTGGAATTATTTATAGGATAGGCGATCATGAATCAGTGCTATTTGTTTATAGTTCAACATTGAATTTAAATTTATACCGATCTTCTGTGCAGCACATGCTCTTCTCTTTTTCTCTCATTATCATTGTTATTAGCAACTCTTAAGAGGGCACACTTTCTTCTCTTTTCCTCTCATTATCATTGTTATTATCAACTCATAAGAGGGCAGTAAACTGCAAAGTCCTTGCTCTTGTGAGCAAACTCCATGAGAAAGAAGATGGAATTTAAAAATTGATGTTTATGTTTGGCACGTGTGTGTGCGTTTTCCTATGAAACATTCTAAATTTTATCTTACAACTCTTGCTAGGCTTGCCACTTATTAAACTTTCTATCCAAGGAGCTGCTGGGAGATTTTGAGGCATGTGCAGAGATGTTCATCCCGGTGAGTAACTTGTGTCGTCCTTTTAGTGATCCTAACGTTCCCAATACCTTTCTGACTCATGAGTTCACATTCAGGTCCTTTTCAAACTTGTCGTGATAACTGTACTTGTGATTGCAGAGTCCGCGGATAACTGCATTAAAACGGTATCTACTTATGTCTATTCATTTTCTATATTCCTATTTCCTTCTGCAAAACTACTTCTTACGCTTCCTTTTTCCAGATGTTGCGTAACTGCAAAGTTGCCCGCATACTTCCTCGTGTGGCTGATACTGCAAAACATGACCGAAGTGCGATACTTCGTGCCAGGTTTCGTTTCTCTCTTCTAAGCATGGTTCAGTGAAGGATCATATATCATTGGGCTAATATCACATTTCAATCCTACAGATGTTGTGAGTATGCTTTGTTGATACTGGAATATTGGGCAGATGCACCTGAGATACAACGGTCAGCTGACCTTTATGAAGATCTTATTAAATGTTGTGTGGGAGATGCAATGAGCGAGGTCTATTGTTGTTCTTGTTGTCATTATTAATTTCTTATTATAGGTAATTAACATGTAATAACAACAGGTACGATCAACTGCTAGGGCTTGCTACAGAATGTTCTCGAAAACTTGGCCTGATCGTTCCCGGCGCTTATTTTCATTGTTTGATCCTGTTATTCAAAGGGTATGTGTTTTTCTTGGCGATGATCTTCTCATACTCTGTTTTCTCAAATAAGATGAAGAATACACATAAACTACTTTCCCGTATTATGATACCCCCTTCCTGATCTAATAAGATACTGTATGCACAGATAATAAATGACGAGGATGGGGGTATGCACCGGCGCCATGCATCACCCTCAGTCCGCGAGAGAAATCCACAAACATCGCTTAGTACTCAAAATTCGGCTTCTTCAAATCTACCTGGATATGGAACTTCAGCTATTGTTGCAATGGACAGAAATCCAAGTTTACCTTCTGTGGCCTCTCTCACATCTGGGCTTTTTTCATCACAACCAAAGTCCGTTGGTAAGGGAACAGAACGCAGCCTTGAAAGTGTGTTGCATGCTAGCAAACAGAAAGTTACTGCCATTGAGAGCATGCTTAGAGGTTTAGATTCCGGGAGAGTTAGATCATCCAGTTTGGATCTAGGTACTTGTCTGTTCTCCTTTTGCATGTAATGTTTTTGGTACTTGCTGTTTTTTTTAAAAGTATATACTATTTATATATTGCAAAACTCCCCCTCACCTTTGGTGAGGCTTGAACCTTTGACCTCCAAGGAGGTTGGGATCTACCGCTAACCCGGATATCGCTAGGCCATTGACCTTTGGTTACTTGCTGATTCTTGGTATAAGTTTTGAAATCATTCTTTGATGATCAATAGCTAGGTTTTTTTTGAATGGCTAACTTTATCTTTTATTTCCCCTAGTGCAGGAGTGGACCCACCTTCGTCTCGTGATCCACCATTCCCTCTTGCTGCTCCTGCTTCCAATAGTCTCACCAGTTCTTTATCATTAGATACAACTACTTCTGGTATCTCAAAAGGTAACAATCGTAATGGTGGCTTGGTCTTGTCAGACATCATCACTCAGATTCAGGCTTCAAGGGATTCTGCTAAGCACTCATATCGTGGTAATGTTGGAAATGAGACTTTGTCATCACTTTCATCCTACTCAACAAGAAGAGCTTCTGAAAAACTTCAAGGAAGAAGCTCTTTTGAAGATAACAATGATATCAGGGAGGTCAGACGGTCAGTGAATTTGCATACAGATAGACAGTACTCGGACACACCATACAGAGATTCACACTTCAGGGATTCACATAGTAGTCACGTCCCCAATTTTCAGAGGCCACTATCAAGAAAGAATGTAACTGGGCGAATGGCTGCAAACAGGCGCAGAAGCTTTGATGAGAGCCAGTTTTCTCCTGGAGAGATGTCAAGTTATACGGATGGTCCAGCTTCTCTCAATGATGCTCTGAGTGATGGGCTTAGTTCTGGTTCTGATTGGAATGCAAGGGTTGCTGCATTTAACTATCTGCGCTCATTGCTGCAGCAAGGCCCTAAAGGAGTTCAAGAAGTTACACAAAGTTTTGAGAAAGTGATGAAGTTATTTTTCCAGCACTTGGATGATCCCCACCATAAAGTGGCACAAGCAGCTCTAACAACACTTGCAGATATCATTCCAGCTTGTCGAAGACCCTTTGAAAGTTACATGGAGAGAATATTACCCCATGTTTTCTCTCGGTTAATTGATCCAAAGGAATCAGTAAGGCAACCTTGCTCAACAACATTAGAAATTGTCGGCAAAACTTATGGTGTGGATTCCCTGTTGCCAGCTTTGCTCCGCTCCTTAGATGAACAACGATCCCCCAAGGCAAAACTGGCCGTAATAGAGTTTGCTATTGTTTCCTTCAATAAGCATGCAATAAACTCCGAGGGTGCTGGCAATAGCGGCATCTTAAAGTTATGGCTTGCTAAATTAGCACCATTGGTCCATGACAAAAATACAAAACTGAAGGAAACAGCTATAACATGCATCATCTCTGTTTACTCTCATTTTGATTCAACATCCGTTTTGAATTACATTCTTAGTTTATCCGTTGAAGAACAGAATTCTTTAAGGCGAGCGCTTAAGCAACATACACCTCGTATAGAAGTGGACTTGATGAATTATCTGCAACAGAAGAAAGACAGACAGCGGTCTAAGTCCTCTTTTGATCCATATGATGTTGTCGGGACCTCTTCTGAGGAAGGATATATTGCAGTATCGAAGAAGACTCCCTTGTTTGGAAGGTATTCTGGCAGTTCCATTGATAGTGATAGTGGTAAGAAATGGGTATCTGCCCAAGAATCCACCCAGATCACTAGCGCTGTTGGTCGAGCAGCACTTGATGGAAGTGAGGACCAGCTGTATCAGGGTCTCGATATTGGTTCCAATGGGGTACAGAATGCCAAGGATGCAAAGTATGCGGTTAATGCCTCAAGTGAAACGGTGGCATCTTGGGCTATCCGGTCTGAACACTTAGAGAGCAATACTGACATGGAAACCGCTTCGGCACCTCCTCTCAATGGACTAGTTAGCTCTGATAATCAACAGGTTGCTGTTGGCCATAATCTTGGTAATGAGGGCCCACATGATTTGGAACTTAGTCTTTCAAAACTTGCATCTTTAAAGATCAATTCTTCTCCTGATGCTAAACCAAGCATCCCTCAAATCCTTCATCTGGTGAGTTCGAGTTTTAGAGTACCTCCCAGCTTGTGCTGCAATAGAAACAATTAGTCCGTCTGTCCTAAAATAAGCGTCCACATTTCTATTTTAGTTTGTCCCAAAATAGGTGTCCACTTTCAAAAGTAAGTGCCTATTTTCCATTTCTACTCTTAATCATGAGATGGAGAAATTTATTGCTTCCTCTATTATTAAGGGTAAAATTGTCATTTAGTTAATTAAAAGTGTAATAGTTACAGATTTCTAAAATCATGTGCCTTTTCCATTGTGGACACTTATTTTGGAACGGAGGGAGTATATGTTGTTGATAAACTCCTAACATTGTTAATCTCATTTTCTTATTTGTTTGCTTAGATTTGTAATGGGAATGATGAATGTTCTACCACAACCAAGCGCAATGCTCTTCAGCAGCTAGTTGATGCTTCTGCGGCTAATGATTCCTCCATATGGACCAAGGTGCACATCTGTCTCCCTTTCTCTGTGCGTAAATGGTTCTTGAAGATGAATTTAAATGGATATGGACTTTTTTAGTTTTTACTTTCTACAATCAGTAGCAGTTTCTGGCAGCCACACTTCAGCATTTTAAAAGATGACTGACATCATAACTAATTAACTTTTGAGCAAGCTAACTTGTTCTTTAGACCTTACTTTTTTACATACAAGCACAGCAAATTATGTTGAAAAGGCCCGAAAGAAGAAACATCTAGAGAGGATACAAGTTTGGGTCTCGTTATGTCTCTTGGGACCTTTTGCCTCTGTTTTAAAAGGAAAATAAAAAGCAAGCAAAACAATTCGTACTTTATGGGCCTAAGTTTGTGGACCTGATGTTTCTGACTGTAGTTGCAAATTGTCTTCTATAGAATGTAGCATTGCAGGATCAACTTCAATGGTTTCCCTTTTGTGGTAAATTGCAACTTGTAGCAATAATCATACTGAGATACTCTTGCTGCTTGATATGTGCAGTATTTCAATCAAATTTTGATGGTTGTACTTGAGGTTTTGGATGATGCTGACCCATCAATTCGGGAGCTTGCTCTTTCATTGATATCTGAAATGTTGAAGAACCAGGTATGCTCTTTAATTTTCGTGCTGTGCTGCGCTATTTACAAGCTGGTTTGTCTCACGTTAAGTTTTCATCCATTGATTCTTCCAGAGAGAGGCCATGGAAGATTCTATTGAGATTGTAATTGAAAAATTATTACATCTTACAAAGGATACGATCCCAAAAGTAAGTTTCTATATTACGTACTTCTTTCAATGTAGATTGTAATTTTTATCGTTTGCCGAAATTTTAGGGGCTATTAGATCCAAATAAATAGAATCTTTTTGGGAAATTTTTTGCTTTGAAGTCTTGATGTCATTTCTGTAAAAACAGAACCCTACTTGGATGGACAGAGAAGCTCCAATAAGTTTTGTATCAAAATCTTATCGTTGCAAGGGAGCCATCCCTGAAGAGTCCAATATACATCAGTTTTTGTCCTAGATAGTCCTATTTTCAAATTTTAACATAAAGATAAGTTTAATGATCTTATGTTACCCTCACTTTTTAAAGATTAGATAGAGCCATTTTGTTAATTTATAATTTACTTATGAGTAAATATGTTCATCAAGGATGTCCTTAAATTTTATACAGATTATAAAGTAGATTATTTTCGGGATCATGGATTGTGTGTTCCCTTTCTACTTGTCTTATGATCTTGAGTTTTAATTGTAGGTATCAAATGAAGCAGAACATTGCTTAACTCTTGTTCTGTCTCAATATGATTCTTTCAGATGTTTGAGTGTAAGTTACACTATATTGTAAATTGTTTATTTAGACAAGCCCGTATGTGTTTGGATATGGTTGTGGCATTTTCTATGCCTCACCTTTTCTCTTCTGACTTTGTAGGTTATCGTGCCATTATTGGTTACTGAAGATGAGAAAACTCTTGTTACGTGTATAAACTGTTTGACTAAGGTAGAGTCTCATGAAACCCAACATTCTTATTAAGTCCGCTATTTTATTCTATGCAAGTGCATTTCCGTTGTTATTTTTCCCCATCCTTTCATTTATCACTTCTTACTGCTTTAGTTAAGCAGCTCCTGCACCGATAAATGATAGCTCAGTCATATACAACTGAAAATAATAATTTATATACAGTAATCTTGTGAAGCCTTCAGCTGAAATCAATTAATATAGATCCATTCCCTGTGGTTGATTTGATTACTTTTTTCGATTTCTGTCATTGTGTTCTTTTCCTTATGGATTCTTTAGTCCTATGTTAAAGGTCGTTTCTAGTAATTGGCTAGTAAAATTAGAGAGAGAAATAAGAATAAGAAGTTAAAAGAGTACGAGAAATCAGGCGTTTTTGGTTGCTGGCCATCTGTGTTGCTATAGGTGCTTTTTCAATATAAATCCAATATGAAAAATTGTGATCTGAAATCTATGGATTATGTCTTCCCTTTTTCAGCTTGTGGGTAGGCTTTCCCAGGAGGAACTAATGGCTCAGTTACAATCTTTTTTGCCTGCTCTTTTTGATGCTTTTGGTAACCAGAGTGCGGATGTTCGCAAGGTAATTGCTTACTTTTAACAATATATCTTCAATGATTAATTTGTTTTTCCGAAAGAGGAAGGTGATATATATATATATATATATATATAGATAGATGCACACACATACATATACATACACACACAGAGAGAGAGAGAGGGGGAGGTTCAGGGGAAAATCCCCCAAAAAATGAAAAACCGAGTAACACTCTAGTAACTATTCATTTGGACGTTATGCACATGTGCATATCGGACAAATTGCTTACAAATAACTTGTATGCATATGTGCGTACCATCCAAACGAACGGTTATCAAGGTGTTAAGTTAGTTTTTCAATTTTTTTTGAGATATTCCCCTGAACGTGACCCTATGTACACATATGATGATGAAGATGATGATATGTTGTTTGTTGGTGGCAGACTGTTGTATTTTGTCTAGTAGACATCTACATAATGCTTGGAAAAGCGTTCTTGCCATATTTGGAAGGTCTTAACAGTACACAGTTGCGGTTAGTAACGATATATGCAAACCGTATATCACAAGCGAGGACGGGGACTCCTATCCAGGAGTAGGTCGAGATAGAGTGTATGTTTTGGTTGAAGTTGTATATTTGTATGGTTGTGATCATGTATGTGTGCATTGCTGGGGTTGGGTTTTGTTGGTTAAATTCTTTTTGTTTTTAATTTGGTTGGAGTTGAGGGCGAGTGTGGTTTTGTGGAAACATGATTTTTAACACTAGTTAACAAATTGTATCTTGTGGCTTTTCTTGATCGTCTCCATATCTATATTATATATATCTATATACTATATTTCAAAGTATTTGATAAAAACTTTTAAAAACCATTTTTTATAAATAAAGTACTCTTTATTTATCTATATTACTTAAAATTCAAAATTACAAATAAATAAGTTTCATGTTTGAATTTATGTAATTAATTACAAATAAA